GTGCGATATGGGCAGTAATATCATCCTCTCCCCACCTAGATGTTAGGAACTCTATCACAGGCGGCCGTACATTTCTTGCGATATTGGGAGTCATATCATCCTCTCCCATCATGGATATTAAGAACAATATTACAATGGAGGTGTACACCCACGGCCATATTGAGAGTATTATGCTCTCCCCTTCGGGATATTAGGAACAATATCGCAGGAGGTGTGTACAACCCCTGCGATATTGAGAGTAATATCATCCTCTCCCCCTGAATGTAAGAAACAATATCACAGGAGGATGTACACCCCCTGTGATATTGGGAGTCATATCATTTTCTCTCCCTCTGGATATTCGGAACAATATCACAGTGGGTGTGTACACCCTCTGCGATTTGCCACTAGTATCATCGTCTCCCTCCCAGGATATAGGGAACCTGCGATATTGGGAGTGATATCATCCTCTCCCTCCCTGGATATTAGGAACAATATCACTAGGGAGTGTACACCTCCTGCAATATGGAGACTAATATCATCCTCTCGCCCCCTGGATATTAGGAACCATATCATAGGGGTGGTGTACACCCCCTGTGAAATCAGAAGAAATATCCTCTCCACCTTTGGATGTTAGGGACAATATCACGGGGGAGGTCTATGCCCCCTGCGATATTGGGAGTCGTATCATCCTCTCCCACCCAGGATATAAGGAACAAGACGACCGAAGGGATGTACACCCACTGCCATAGTTTCAATAATGTCATCCTCTACCCCCTGGCTGTTAGGAATAACATCATAGTGGGGTGTACACTTTCTTCGATATTGGGAGTGATATCATCCTCTCCCCGCCGGATATCAGGAACAAGTCTATTAATTATTAATAAGTATAAGAAAAATTAAGAGTAATCATCAATATTAATAATCACAATAAAGATAGTAAAATACTAGTTAAAAATGTTAATGATTAGCATTAATAATCAATAGTAATATCACCATTATTAATAAAATAATATCAGCAATTAATGTTACTTAATACTAAGTGATGGTAATAAAACAATATTAACAATTATTTTAAGCATGCATAATCATATATTTAAAATAATTATCCATAATAACGGTATCCTATTAATAGTATCATTGATAATTGTTAATATCAATCATAGATGTTCAATAATCATATCATATTACTCCTAATACCACAGGGGGTGTACACCTACCTGTGATGTTGTTCCTAATATCCAGGGACAGAGAGCATGGGATGTTGTTCCTAATTATCAAGGAGGGGAGAGTGTAATATTACTCCCAATATGACAGGGTGTGTACATCCCCCCCAAGGCATTGTTCTTGCCATTCAAGACAAGAGAGGATGACATGACTCCAGATATCGAAGAAAGTGCAAACCCACGTATGATATTCTTTCTAATATCCAGAAAGGAAGAAGAGGATAGTAATCCTCATATGGCAGGAGGGGTACACTCACTCTGATATTTTTCCAAATATGCCGGGGGAAAGAGGATAATTGCATTCTCAATATCGCACCAAGGGTTATACACCCCGTGTGAGATGGTCCTTCATGTTTCAAGGCGGGAGGGATGATATTATGACATATATGGCAGAAAGCGTACACTCCCCAGGGATATTGTTCCCATGATCCTGGAGGGAAGGGGATGATATTACTTTAAATATTACGGGAAAGTGTACACGCCCCCAGTACACCCTCTGACGGTGTACACACAGAGTATACACCCATCTGTGAAAGAGTTCATAATTTCCAGAGGGGGAGATGATATTACTCACAATATCAAACAGGCTGTGAGTCCACCATGGTCCCTAATAGGCAGCGGGAGGAGAAGGGGTGGCTATTAGTCCCCACCTTGTGGGGGGTGCCTCACCCCCCTGGCGAGGTGACTCCTAATAGCCAGAGGGGGAGAGGGGGTGGCGATTAGTCCCCACCTCGCGGGGGGTGCCTCACTGCCCTGCGATGTGGCTCTTAATATCCGGGGGGGAGAGGGAGTGGCTATTAGTCCTCACATCGTGGGGGAGGTCCTAAAATAAAATATATGTTAACTATTTAAAGGTGTGAATTTTATTACATATAGAAAAATGTGTGTTTAGCGTACGAATGTGTGCATTTATGTCAAATACATGAAAACACATAATCCAGGTGTTTCAGTTCATACCACTGTAGAGACTTTTCGGTTTCTTTTCATACAACTGCCCAACTGGGGCCCAGAACCAACACCCACCAGCTGTGTCACTGCATCTGTTGTTTTACTGTCACACACCGGCCCTACCCCACAAAAAAAAAAAAAAAGCCATGGCACTTAATAAAAAATTAATTTTACATTATTAGAGATGACTTGTAGTCCTCTTTGAAGAGATTGCAGCATGTGAAGGATTTCAAATACAACTGTGTTCTGGGTCTCCTGATCTAAGGACCTATCCGCACTGGTGGCTTTAGCAGTGCTTCATGCAAACTTCCAGAAGGCATGTGTGTCATGTCTAAGAGCAAACTAGAGTTCACGCCTCAGCACTGTGTGCCTCTTCTTTCTTCCGTCCCACGGGCACCGTCTTCGCCCAGGGAGCTGGTGCTGTGCTCTGAGGCTCTGTCCCACCAGTCCTGCCAATCCCTGGTGCCATGTGGAGAACCAGTCTCCGTCTGTAAAGGTGTTGTGCAGAAAACAACTCATCCAAATCTGTTTAAAAACCACACATTTGCGACGCCTATAGGCCTCAGAAGGTGGAGGAGACAGGTAAAGGCAGCTGCCATGGGGGCTGAAGATCAAGCCGGTCTGTCTGGCGACTGATGGGCACTGTCTGCAGTGAGCCACTGTACATTTAGCGAGGCTGTCTGGCCCCTCACCTCTGCCAAGCCTCCACCCATCGAGTCTGGCCTGGATTCTCACATGCCTGCACAGCCTTCATCTGGTTCATAACTCAGCTCAAAAGGCCCCATACAAAGGCCCCCGTACCGCGGCAAGGAGGCGGTGTCACGCCTGTGGCCATTTATCCTCTCTGCATCTAGCTCCTCTTCCTGAGGCAACAGCACCTCTGAAGTCACAGCCTGGCCTCCCAACTCTCCCCCGTCCCAGGCTTCTTGGCATGTTGCTCTGCTGCACACACCTCAGCAAATACTGCTGATCAGCCAGAATCACCCAGAAATCTCTTAACCTCGATTCTGACTGCTTTCTATAATTTGTAATATTTGTACTTCTGATGTGATTTGAGGAACAACAAATTTTAAAATTAGAGAAGATGTGGTTTTTATTCTCTCCTTTCTACTTGCAACCTTGAAAATTCAAGTAGCAGCAAAGTTTGTTGAAAGTAACTTCCACAAAATAGAACCTATTACAAATGTACTACAGAGTGTCAAATAACCACATAGATGTAAAATAGACATGCAGACACAGATATCAAATCCAATGGTTAAACCAAACTGAGAAATGCTTGCCAGTTTGATAGGACTTCTGAAACTTGACAAAAATGTTGGCTAAGGGATACAAGATGCTATGAGATGAGTGAAATGTTTGGCCTAAAACCACAGGCTCTCTCCTCTTTACAGCAGAAAATCCTTAAGGAAGTCAAATCTGAAAGAACCAGGTACCGTTGAACGGCATCATCAGTCGTCCTTCCCATCCCTGGGCAGCTGTGGTGAGTGCAGCCAGTGGTTCACCAATATCCATCATCCATCCTCCAGGCCATGGCTACACTTTACTCCCAGGCTCCCTGTCATTATGTAGATTAGGTAAATCCTGGCCAGTCTCGCCTTAATCCTACCCCCGCCAGCGTGGCAATCACTCAGTCCCAACCACAGCAAGGACAGCCGTGTCCGTGGGAACACAGAGCAGGGGTCGGGAAGAAATCTGGATCCCTGAATACCTCATGGAGCAGTCACCAGCCTGGAACATCCTCCCTGACAGGTTTGCAAGAGAGAAAAACTCCTTGGTTCCTCAAGCTACAATACTGCAGAGTCTCAGGTCACAGCATCCTTACCTACCCTCCTCAGGAACCGTTCATGCTCATCAAGACATGAGAACAAAACTGCAGTGGCACAGTCACACACTCACCCAGAACGCAGACCACCTGCTGCTCACATTCATCACCAAAAAGCCACCTTGATGGATATCCTGGATGTGGACACTCGGCGGCTTTTTGCTGGAGATGCGCTTTGTGCATTTATCGCATGACCATCTTGGCGTCAGGAGCTGCTGCGCAGATGGCAGCTGTGCACGTCACAGGGAGTCTCACTCGCTGGACTCTCAGCCAGCTCCCACTATCAGTCCCGCAGAGTCCTCTCCTCTGGGAGAATGTGCTTAGACCCACAGTGGTCCTGTGGATCCACACAACAGCGCTGTCCTCCCTGGCCACTGTGCCTGTCCACTGTGTCCACACGGACCTCCCTGTCCACTGTGCCTGTCGCGGCTCCGATAGTCCCTGTCTACCTGTTGGGGATCGGATAGGCCTCCTTGTCCGCCTGCGAGTCCCGTGCACTGCAAGATTACACCATTCCAAGGCTGCTCGATGAGGCTTCACACAGGGGCATTGTATTTCATTCACTGCTAGGTTCTACACTGACTTTTATGACCCCGGGGAAGGACTAAGACTTAAATAGAACAGAGGCTAGGTGATACAAACCGCCGCTGTAATCAGAACATACCAAGACCAGGCCACAGGAAGGAAGGAGAAGCCCTCGGCCACAGCCTGTTACCAAGTCGCTGACATCTCTGTCCAACATAGATAAAAAGACCCTCTTTCCTCCGAAGTCTAAAGCAACATACCGGCCCATCTGACAGTAATTCTGTTGTACATTTAACTTCATCTTGCTCTTCTAAGTGACTGTTCACGGTCTTAACACCTGTACAAGAATTTCTCAGTTGCTGAACCACTGTTCGTTATTCAGCAGATAAAATGGCAGCAGATTGTACCCCAGGAAGAAACACACCCAGTCACGGGCACAGAACGGGACATCAGCACAAACCGTTTCCCAGAACAAAACACATCTCTGCTTTGGGACGTACCACTCCCGGTCTCCATGAGCTCGGCGTTGCAGTACTTGGGCGCTGTCCGGGACCCCGTGGAACCCTGTGGTCGCTCCATCTGTATGGAGTGCTCTGAGGTGTACGTGGTTACATCAGGAGGTGCAGAATGATTATCTGTAAAGAAACACATCATGAGTGTTTCTGGTGGTTGTGGCGTTTGTTCTGCAGGTTGAGCAAGCCATAGCTCAGGGAGACCGGAGCGCGGTCTGGGGGTGCCGTGAGAAGCCAAAGCCGATCTCAGCCACGTCTGCCACACACATCCGGCACAAAGGGGGACCCCAGCATAACTCATGTTGCCGAAAATGCAGCGGAGTTCGGTGAAAACTCAATTTCCTAACAGGAGCCACGTCAGCGGCATTTTAACTAGAATAACGTTAGACCAGCAATGGCAGGGCTCCAGGAAGCGTGTGTATGTTCATGGAAGGGTCCCGTTTCCTGTCGGCCACCGTCCACACAGCCCAGGGCTTTACTCGCGCTTTGGAGCCCAGGGCCTGGAATTGGAAACCCAGCTCTGGAACCTTCTGGGGATTTGGGGATGTCCCTTAAGCTCTCCATGCCTCAGTTTCTTCATCAAATGGGAACAGTAATGGCTATGACCATGTAGGGTCGGGGCAGGGGGGTTGGCCAGTGTGACTATGTTGTGCCTGGACTCCTTAGAACACTCACGCACACACGATCACAGATGCTAAGTTCTCGTTCACAGGCTTCTGATTATCTCAGAAGGTCAAATGCACATGTGACTTTTTACTTCTCTTGTTTTGCCACACAAAATATTTCTGCTCTTCAAGTTTCATTATTTTGTCACGGCTTTTCCAAAAAACTCCCAAACTTATAGAAAATTTCCAGATAGTCTAGGAGGATTATCTTCGTGCCCAATTAGAAATTACCGGAACGCGATCACCCGAGAGTTACATTTGCGTCACACTGAGCCCTGACGTACATGAGTTAGGAACCCCTCATAGTTTGGATAAATTAATTCTTTGTACTAAAACTTCCTCCAGTATTGAAAGGGTAAACCCACAAAGGGAGGCCCAAGTGCAGTGATCCATTTATTCAAAAATATGTGTTTTCCTTGGTAAGATTCTGTGCATTTTTTTTTTTTTGACGGAGTCCCGCTGTGTCGCTAGGGTGGAGTGCAGGCTGATCTCAGCTCACTGCAAGCTCCGCCTCCGGGTTTTACGCCATTCTCCTGCCTCAGCTCCGGAGTAGCTGGCTCAGGCCCGCCACCTCGCCGGCTAGTTTTTGTATATTTGTAGAGACGGGTTTCACCGTGTAGCAGGATGGTCTCGAACTCCTGACCTCGTGATCCGCCCGTCTGGCCCCCAATGCTGGATTACAGCTTGAGCCACCGCGCCCGGCCTGTGCATTTCTAAAATTGAATAAAATCGAGGATACAAATGCTTCCACCAAGTGGCAGAGGCGGTGTCTGGCCTCCCCGTTCACGTCTGGCAGAGCCTTGGCCACTATCCTGCGATCCAATATACACATGGAATTTTATTATGGAAAAATATGCAGCAGTCACACATTTCTGTTCAATGTTTAGCCTACTGTGATTTCAGGTAGGGTTATTAATTCACATAAATGAGTGTACATGTTCCTGAAACCGTGTCAAACTGAAGTTTAACACTGCTTTGCATTTGAGTACTACTTTGCAAACTTTTAGAGAGTATTTCTGTTTCTCCTTTATACTCACAACAGTTGGGAGAGAAAAATTATTGTTTTCAATTTTTTTTCCCTCACTCAAAGCCTAAAGCAGAAGGGACTTCAAGTTCCCAGCAGCAGTTATTGGGAAAAGTGAGACAGACCCAGCTCTCCTGACAGCAAACTCCTGTTCCAGACAGAAAACAGCTGACGCTTTCAGTGTCAGTGAGCACCGAAGGGGTGGGACCCAAGTCAATCCCAAACGCCTCTGGGTGTCAAGGAGTCAGTGATCTAGAAGTGAACATTCTGGGGTTCTGGGGTGTCTGTGGGCTATCTGATCACACGTGACGTCCACCTGCTTCCCACTGAGGGTTTTGCAGAGATCAGGCTTTCCTGTGGTAGCTGGTGCCGGGAGGGTCTGAGCCTGTGGCTCGTGCTCCGTTATCGGCGACGTGGTACACAGTCGTCTCCGGTTACTGCTTTAATAGAGACACACACCAAATCCTATTCAACCCAAGTCCCATACTTGATGGAAAACATTTTCTCCTGAACCATTCAAAGGCAGAGCGATGCGAGGCTCATCATGGCTCCCCCACGCGTCGACTCTACCTCTAGTAATTCTCACTTCCCTTATATACAGTTGACTGAGGATGCCGATTTCAATTTTCTCCTTACTGATTTTCTGGCTACCGAATTGGTCCATTTCTGATAAAGGGGTGTTAACGTCTCCAACTATAATAGTGGGTTAATTATTTCTCCTTGAAGTTTATCAGTTTTTGCTTTGGAATTCTGATACTTTGTTAGCAAAAGTACATTTAAGGATTGTTACATCTTCTTGGAGAATTGACCTCTTTATTACATAATAGTCATCTCTGGTAACTGTCCTTGATGTAAAGCCGACTCTGTCTGAAATTAATATCACCACTTCCATTTTTCAAAATGAGTGTTGGCCGGGTACGGTGGCTCATGCCTGTAATCCCAGCACTTTAGAAGGGCAAGGCAGAATGATCACCTGAGGTCAGGAGTTCAAGACCAGCCTGGCCAACACGGTGAAATCCCATCTGTACAAAAATAGAAAAAAAAAATAAATTACCCGGGCATGACGACAAATGCCTGTAATCCCAGCTACTCGGGAGGCTGAGGGAGAATCACTTGAACCTGGAAGGCAGAGGTTGCAGTGAGATGAGATCAGGCCATTGCACACCAAAAAATTAGTGTTAACATTTATATCTTTTTCCATCCCTTTACTGTTGATCTATATGTATGTCTTTGTATTTAAAGTGGATTTCTTATAGATAATATATAGTTCCGTGCATTTGGACTGACATTGAAAGTAATAATATACAGTTGAATTAACATCTACCATATTTGTTACTATTTTCTATTTGTTGCCCTTGTTCTTTGTTTTTGTCTTTCTTTTTTTTTCCCTTGTGGTCTTAATTGAGCATATTCTATGATTTATTTTCTTTCCTTTCTTAGCATATCAGTTACTCTTTTTTTTTTTTTTAAAGTGGCTACCTTGGAATTTGCAATATAAATTTACAAGTAACCCAAGTCCACTTTCAAACGACACTACACTGGTTTCTTGATAATGCCAGCACACTATAATAACAAAATAATCCTAATTCCTAATTGCTCTCTCCCATCCCTTGGGTATCACTGCTCTCATTCATTTCACTTCTATTTAAGTGTGTGTATATGACATATACATAAGCATACAATACAGTATATTTACTGTCGTTTACGAATGAACTGTTAAGTTACATCTATTAAGAAAAATGAAAGATTTTCTTCTACCTTCACTATTTCTTTTTTAATGCTTTTTGTTTTTCTATTTATTTTTTTAAACAGACAAGGTCTTTCTCTGTCCCAGGCTGGAGTGGAGCAGCATCATTATAGCCCACCGCAGCCTTGAATGGGATCCTGGGCTCAAGAAGTGACCCGTCTCAGCCTCTCAAAGTAGCTGGCACTATAGGTGTTGGCCACCACGTTTGGCTTTTTTAATGAGACAGAGTCTCACTACGTTGCCCAGGCTGGTCTCAACTAAGCGGCCTCCAGCTGTACTCCCATCTTTGCCTCCCAGAGTGTTAGGATGACAGGTGTGAGCCCTGTAAACAGACCGTGCCCCTCCTTTCTTTGTGTACAGCTGAGTTACTGACCTCTACTATTTTCTCTAAAGAACTTTGAACATTTTTTGCAAGGCAGGTCTACCGGCAACAAATTTTGCAATTTTTGTCTGAGAAGGTCTTTTCTTTTTCTTCACTTTTGAAAGATAATTTCACAGAGTATAGACTTCTAGGTTAATGGAATTTTTTTCCTCTCAAAAGTTTAAATACTTCACTCCACTTCTTGCTTTCATGGTTTTTGAGGGGAAGTTGAAAATAATTCTTATCTTTGATCCTCCATAGGGAAGGAGATTACTCTGGTTTCTATGCTCTTTAATCTTTGATTCACCATAGTTTGAATATTTTATGCCCAAATAGAGTTTATTTTTGTTTTGTTTTTGTCGTCATCGTTTTTACATTTATCCTTCTTGGTGTTTCTTGAGCTTCCTGGATCTATGGTTTGGTGTCTGGCATTAATCTGAGGATATTCAGCTATTACTGTTACAAATATTTCTTCTGTTCCTCTTTCTTCCCCCTTGTATTACCGTTATGCATATTTTATGCCTCTGTGGAAGTCCCATAGTGCTTGGATACTCTGTTCTTTTTTGCTTTTCAGTTCTGGAGGTTGGAGTTGGGTATTTCCCTTTCTCCCAGGTCAGAAGGCTCTGATAAAATCCCACCAGGTGAGTCTCTAGTTAACTAGCTTCTCTGGAAGGTAGGTCTAGTGAAGAGTGCACCTACATATTGAAAAATGATTCCTATTCTCCTTCCCCTGTAGTAAGTATGAGGAGATTTTTCTCTGATGTTTACTTCGAGAACCTGATTGAGCTTCTGATGATACAACTCACAAAAGCATGAGACCCATATGCACAGGCCTCCTGGAGGTTTTAACTCTCAGACGTGGCCACACCTCACTGCAGCAATTTGTCAATTCCAGTTCAGGCTTTCCAATCCCAGTGTGGGTTCCTTGGAGCATTGTGCTCCAGTGTATTGGTGATTCATCTGCTTTACCTGTCCAGCCAATCTGGGGACAGTGGCTTGCAGGTGACCTCACGTCTCTTGCAGGTTTAAGAACTGCTGATTTTTCAGTTTGCTCAGATTTTTACCTGTGAGGAAGGAGTGACAATTCTCAAGATTATCGTGTACGGAACCTGAAATTCCCCAACTCCATTATAGTGAAAAGTGTTTGCCCTTCCTCTGGCTCAAGAATTAATACGTTTTCATTCTCTGACACGTTGTACTTTGATTCCCTAAATATTTATAGATTTAAAAACTCAGTTTTCTGCTGTATCAGACATCTAGACTGGCACTTTCCAACAGAATTGAGAGTCCTGTTATAGAATTTGAAACCTTCCTTGTAGCCTCATATAAA